TGACTATAGTGATGGTGACTGTAGTAGAGATAACCAAGCCGTGAAAACCATCCACGACCTTCGTCATGCTGGACAACGTGCTCAGTTCGACGATGATGCGCGATATCTTCTCGACGGACTTGCAGGTAGTAATTTGACAGGTAAGACACGATGTTCATCGTTGTTAGATTTTGCGACTCGTATTGCAGAGGATGATGATGGGGGATTTATAAACCATTTCACTTTGCCCAAGTCAGGTTATCTGGAAGATTTTTTCCAGTTAACCATGACGGTTGAAGGTACAGATGCCGATGGTGTGGGTCGATTTTTGACTGGGTTGATTCTGTTAAGAATTTTAATGAGTCCGTATGGTCATCATTTGACTTCACTATTAACCTCATCGTTACTAGATTCTACATCCTATCGTTTTGTTTCGTTTTTGGTGGCATTGTTGCAGGACGCTACAGATGTTCGAACTATGGCTGAAAATGCTAGCATGGCTAAACGCACTAGAATTCTACTTCAAGGTGTCCTAGCTAAATTTAACCTTCTTCAAGATGATTATATCCATCAATTGCTGAATGGCGAAATGCTAGCACTTACTATTTTGACCGCGTTTATAGATAAAGATGCACATAGCGATCATCTTTTGAGGAATAACTGGTGTACGGTAACCAAGTCCATGGAGGAACCTCTGTTGGTGGTTGCATTAAAATCATTCAAAATATGTATTATACAGTCTGATTCTGGCCTTGATTCTGATTTGAATTCTCTCTCAACCTTCTCATTTTCTCGAAGAGTGACGGAGGACTGGCAGCGCTTACATATGGCCATTCTCTTACTTGAATTCATGTCAGACTCATCTTCCTTTCGTGCTCATCTTTTTTCATTCCCTCGATCAGTCGTGAATATTTTCAAATACTCGTGTAGTTTACTCGACTACGACCCATTTGATGGCCATATTGAAGGAGGATGTGGTGAATGGGACCCCACTATTGTCCATGACGCCTCAGAACGTGTTCTGGCCCCACTATTCCGTTTACTAATTCTTCTAACGTCTCCGGATAGTAGTAATGAATCAGAAGTTGGCATTGAAGACCACGTTATGAAGCCACTGGTGGTCGCAGTCGTGGGTATTTTGGCTCTTAAATACGGTGAAATTAGTTTGAATCATAAGTCAGACGTTGATATTTGTCTGTTTGCCCTGGGACTACTGGTTAATCTTACTGATCGCGTGGATTTTAGTACAAGGGATATGGTCACAGCGGGGCTAGAGCTGCATAAATTATTTATTTTGTCATCTAAGTCAGAAATTATTAGGGATGAGAATTCAAAGTATGTGCATGGATACCTCAGTTTAGCTTTAGTTGGATTTTGTCAGAGTAGGCCAGAGTTATTGAACAGCTCGGAGATGGAACAAGTCAAAGCTTCATTAGAACTATTTAGGGAAAGTTTGAGTTGTGAGGGTGAAAATAGTAATTATAGTGGATTAAAGGACCGTGTAGTGACTGCTCTAGAGGTTCTTTCGGATCTGTAGTATTAAATAATATTATTGAAACAAATAACAATGTTATTGGTAGAAAAGAAACCAGTGGTTACCATCGCTAATAGTAACGACTCTTCAACTTTTACCAAAAGTATTATCGTTTAATACAAAATAAAGTTTCTTTAGTCAATGTTAGATCATATACGTGATTAGTAACGAATCCTGGTAAGAAAATATCAAAATATAAAAACTTAATTTGGCATTAATATTAGAATTCTTTGGCCAAAAACCAACAAAATATAAATAGGACTATCCCAAAAATGGACGACACCGGATTCGAACCGGGGACCTCGCGCATGCTAAGCGCATGTGATAACCAACTACACCAGACGCCCTAATTCGGAACATTATTGATAATATTTCTTACCTGAATTAGCAGGCAAAAAGAAATATTGTTATATGTTTTACAATTTTGCAATTGAAGCGTGTTGCAGAGCTGCTTGGGCTTTAAGAATGTGTTTTTTAATTTTTCCAGTTGACGTCTTTGGGAGACTTTCCACTACTTCGATTATTTTAGGTATTTGGTACCCACCAATCTTCGTTTTAAGCCAAGCCCTGAGCTCATCTTGAGAAAAGTTCTTATCAGTATCCTTCAATGTAATATAAGCCTTAGGCCGTTCACCATAGTGTTCATCAGGAATACCAACCACTGCAACTTCCAGGACATTATCAAACTGCATAATAACCCCCTCAACAAACACCGTGGAAATATTTTCCCCACCTGAAATAATCACGTCTTTTTTTCTATCCTGAACCTGAAGGAATCCATCAGGGTGTACTACAGCTAAATCACCTGAGTGAAACCAGCCGCCTTCAAATGCGGAAGCATTGGCTTCTGGATCATTGAAATACCCCTGTGAAACTATATTCCCACGCATAATTATTTCACCGATCTCCTTACCATTTGGAATGACATCTTCATTAATGTTTCCGTCACGTACTACCCGCACTTTACTGGAGGTCATAAATCCATGACCCTGTCGAGCTAATGCGGTATATTGATCCTCAGGATTCTTACTGGTATTCCATTTTTCCAGAAAGTAACAGCGGGTTACGGGGCCATACGTTTCAGTAAGGCCGTAGTGATGTAAGGGAAGAAAATTGTATTTGATCATCTTTTCGAACAGAACAGCTGAAGGAGGGGATGCGGCCACAATGACTCTAACAGGATTTGATAGAGGCTTTGCTCTGTTAGAGTTGAGAATCATGGTGTTAACTGTAGGGGCAGCACACATATGAGTGACACCAACTTCATCTAATACATCCCAGATATAGCTCGGATCAATTTTGCGCAAGCATATGTGTGTACCTCTCACAGCAGTAACAGCGAAGGGAAAGGTCCAACCGGCAGCGTGAAACATTGGTAAAGTCCAAAGATATCTACAACGGTTCTCACCAAAGGGCGTCTGGCAGTTGAGCTGAGATTCAATGATATTTCCCATAGTACTTAGGTAAACGCCACGGTGAGAGAACGCAACGGCCTTTGGACGGCCAGTGGTGCCTGAAGTATAGTATAGGCCAATAGTTTCATCTTCATCACGGTCTTCTGCGTGCAGTCCATCCCAACCCTTTTTGTGTTGGGCATTATCCCATTCCAGACCTTCCAAAATGGCTTGAGTGTACGCACATTTTTGCTCAGCTTGAGCCAAATTAGACAAATCCTCATCGATAAGAACTTTAAACTTATCACTAGGCTTTAAAAGGGGGAAATATTCACGGTCAACGACAACCAAATCAGCTTTACCAATTTGGATCTTATACATAATTTCTTCTGAGGTCAAACGATAATTAAGACCAATAGTGACTCCACCAGCGACTATGGTGCCAAACATGGAAATAATATGCGCCGGGGTATTAGGTGCCAGAATAGCCACTCGAGAAAAATTGTGTAGTTTAAGATAATAAGCCAAGCCACGCGCACGATCCGCAAATTCCTGATAGGTGTATTTGACCTTCCCGTTGTCAGCGGCACAGTGGTGGATAGCAGGCGCCTCAGGCTCGATCTCAGCGGCTCTAGGTAAGAAATATCCAGGGTTTAAATTATGACGATTGATCCCTTTGGTTGCTATCTCTGTCCAGGTAGCATTAGCAGTATCTATATCGATTTCATTCGATGTAATTTCACTTTGTGACACTGTAGCGTTAGTGGTCAAAAGTCGACTGATCATTCTTCTTCACTGTTGTTTACTTTCTAAACCAATTCTTGAAATAAGATAGGTAATTGAATAATTCTGAGTTAAACGCCTTTATAATTTTCAGGCTTTCTTTACTTAGATTTTCTCTCTTCTAGATTTTTCTGTTTCTTTGGCCAGATTTCGTGGATTTATATATACCAAGAAAAAATAGTCAGAATTTTACCCCACAGACCAGAGAGGGGCCTCGATCGGAGAATCCGAGGAGAACCTCAAAGATTTAAGCCGCTAAGAGTGAGGCGTATCGGTACTCTCACGGACTAACGATATGAATAAAACTTGGCTCTGTGTGTAAGCCTTAATATAGTTAGCTTAGTTGAACCGAATAGAAGTTCAATATAAGCGCTGGTTAATTTAAATTGGTTTGATGAAAAATTGTGTCTTGATAGTCTTGGTTAAAGGTTATTGACTAAAACAATCATTACGATAATCCTCTATTGACTATATCTTTTTATTAGCTTTCGCTATATAGTTTTGTTCTTATTATCCCCATAAGATTCTTATGTTTTTCAATTGTTTATCAAGGGATTCGGGTAGGTTTTCTCAAAAAAATATATCTTTGGTTTCCGGATTCATTACTGTGCTTAGTGCAAAAATCATTTTCCCAAATACCCTTCCCTGATTGTTCCATTATAGAAGTATGGCCTTTGAGGTAAGTATACTTAAAGAACAATAAATATTATAAATTCCTTTTGCTTAGGCTGATGAGCTTAATTTAATCATTTGAAGATGTTCAATTAATGGAAGCGAGCTTTTGAAATCGAAAAAAAAGATTCTCCTGGGGGCGAGTCGAACGCCCGATCTCAGGATATATGTATCAATTACAGTCCCGCGCCTTAGCCAGCTTGGCCACCAGGAGAAAGGAAGCTTCCTTGCCAGGGGTCGAACCTGGAATCTTTCGGTAGTGACTATTAACACACGTTAAACGTACGCTTCTGAGACAGAAATCGTAGCCGAACGCCTTGCCATTGGGCCACAAGGAATAAGCTTATGAAATGAAAAATATATAGGTTTAACAAAGCCCGTTTATAAGGTTGGATGATGATACGTTGTGTGTATCCTCAAGTTATTGTTCAAAATTTTTGTTTTAGTTATATAAAAAAAATCCTTCGTCAAATTGCTTACAAACTCCTTTTGATTCAGTCTTATTAAATTTGTTATACATAAAAAAGTTAGAATAATTTTAGCTGCGTCAATTTTTCTAAGAGTAAGATAATCTTATCTTCTGAAAGTTAAAACCAATCGGGAACCTTAGAAAAATAATCACAGTTCCATAAAAAAGAAGCCCAACGGGGGGGTCGAACCCCCAACCTTGTGATGACTTTAATACCATATTTTCAGGTTTTTAAGAGTCACACGCTCTACCGATTGAGCTAGCTAGGCCTTTTTGATCTCTAGCGGAGTCGAACCGCTGATCCTTGCGTTATTAGCACAATGCCTTAACCAACTGGGCCAAGAGATCAAATTGTGAGTGGGCCCAACCGGGAATTGAACCCGGGACCTCTCGCAATCAGAATTAAGTAACCCTAAGCGAGAATTATACCACTAAACCATCGGGCCAACCTTGAATGAGTACTCTCAAGGAGAGTTTAAAACACATCCAACGAGTATATATACAAATCTATCTGGCCTAATAATACATACCAAATTTATATCAGTAAGATTGTAGAGTTAGGGATCGCCAAAGATGACTCGAAGTCGTTCACAGTTTATTGTTTATTCAAGACCATAACTAAAGTCTATAAAATAACAGACATCATCATTTAGTGTAATTTGAAATAATTAATTCTAGTTTGATGAAAGATCTAACTATATTAGAAAGTTTTTGCTCTGTGGAATGGTAATTTTTTCCTCATGTGAGTATCATTTCCTGAATTGGAATAATACAATTTGTAAAATAGCTCTTTTTTGTATGAATGTTCAACTCTTTATGGTGACTTCCATAGCTGTTAAATTCTTGTTGTTCAATATGTTACTTTACCCTGTTTTCATAGAATATTGCCAAATAATTCAAAGAACGATATAGCAAAAAAATATGACACAGACAGGAATCGAACCAGCAACCTTTGGATTTGGAATCCAACGCTCTACCATTGAGCCACCGCATCACCGTTGCGCCAGCCCGGAATCGAACCGGGGGCTCACCGATGGCAACGGTGAATTTTACCACTAAACCACTGGCGCACAATTGTTAGAAATTTGAAAACCCTTTATAACTATTACGAAATACAATATATTTGAAGATGCACGTGCTAGACTATACTTTTCACACCCTACAGTCCATCTCAAATGAGTTTTTCATTACATTACTTTGAAGAGAATTAGATTTTACGCGGAAATCTGGATACATAACATATCTTAATGCCAGTAATGGAACAAAATCTTGTTGGAACCAATTCTAGTCAAGTTTATTCAGGCGTTTTGAGCACCTCTGGAGGCTCTTTAGAAAAAATCCCCATGCATAAAGGGCCTTGGCGTCGAGCCCATGCGCACATCACTTTACCTATACTCTTTATATTATCATCAATCTGTGGAAGTTTAGCCAGGACAAGCTTAACAAGATTAACGAGTTACAAAGGAAGTCCAAATGGTGGAGTTGTCTGGGCCAACTTCACCGGCTGCTTTATTATGGGGTTAATGAATTCTACTGACTTGCAATTGTTTGCCAACATAATCAGTAGCCATAGGACTATAGCAACACCGAATAAATACTTCGATTCAAAAGGAGCCATTCCCCTTTTTATTGCAATAACTACTGGTTTCTGTGGGTCGTTGACCTCTTTTTCTTCGTTTATATCAGCCATATTTCTCTCTTCGGCAAATTTAAATCCCGTGGACGTGGGTGCGCTTGGCCAACCAAATATTAACAATCCGCCCAACCCGGCGTATGGTATTATGACTGGATTGTCAGTACTATTGACTCAGCTTTTGATTGGATTAGCCGGATTTAGTGGAGGCGAGCAATTGTCGACCTTGATCTATGGTGATAAATCAGATTTAAATCCAGGCCGAATATCAACATTTCTGAGATTCTCGCCTAATGGGTACTACATTACTGAAAGATTTCTATCAGTAGTTTCCATATGCCTTTATATTGTTATGATTGTACTATCAGCTACGGTTCCCAAATCTCGATTCTGGACTTTGCAATCCGTGTTTGCGCCATTAGGAACCTTTTCAAGATTTTATTTTTCCAAAAAATTTAATAATCGATACACCAAATACCCATTTATGGGTACTTTTTTAGCCAATATATTAGCTACTATTTTGCTTTCTGTACTTTTGCTGCTCCAGCGGGGAAAATCTTCAAATGCAGCTATTTCACCTAGTCTGGTTCAGCATGTGGTAAGTTGCCAAGTATTAGACGCACTTATCAATGGGTTTTGTGGATGCTTTTCTACAATTTCAACATTTTTCTTGGAAATTCATAAATTATTCCGTAAACAGACTCGGAAAAGTCTCGTGGCTGGCTACTGTTACGGATTGGGGACAATAATTTTGGGATATGTTTTGATGGTTATTATCCTAGGCTCGTTTGCTTGGAGTAGAAACGGATTGAATAGGCCATCTTGCTATATGCCTGGTTCTGCTACAAGATAATATTGTTATTGTATAGTTTACAAGCATTAATTACCTCGATGTAATTAGTGTAGATGATTACACCGTCTGATATATAGAAAGCGGAATTGTGAACAAGAAAAAGCTCCATTATAAACTAAAAATAAAACAAAACTCTAGAATGCGTGTATAAATAAGACGGTACATACTATGCTAGCATAATATGTCCAGGGAAAAAATTCCCATCAAGGGTAAACCTTTAATTTAAAAGTCATAATAATACCCATTTAAAATATTACCATTACCACTCTCATATTGTTCATTCAAAAACTGTTCGTAATCATCATCCTCCTCCACGCCAGGCTCACCATTTTTATTTAAACCATTATCACCATTCTCACTGGAATCATCACCTAAATGTTTCAAGGTGATTGAATTAAAATTTTTAAAGGGGTCCTTAGGAACTTTTTTGGTAAATGCCAGGTTCGAATAATTGATATTTGAGGTTCTGGCATTGCTGAGATGAGAATTATGACTTGGTCTAGCTGGGGTTCCGGCTCCTGTACCTGAGTTGACGCCTATTAACGAGCTAGTTGTCGAAGACATGGAGTTCTTGGCACTGTTTAAATGATATTTGTCAATACTTTGACTTTCTTTGAATTCTTTAAAATTGTCCCAATTAGCTTCTATTATGGCCCGCTTATCTTGCTGCAAGGGAATAATTGGCGGGTCTTGGTTTCTCAATAAGGCCCATTGCGTATTCTTAAAGAAGGGATGCGATTTGATATCAGAGGCGCCAGCCCGCGAACCAAGGCGTTTATGTTCATCCTTAATTAGCAGCTTTTTAATCAAGGATTTACAGTTATTAGAAATACTGAACCCATTACTATCTAAGAAAGCCACATCATGCTTCAAAACATTCGCAAAAGTAAGATTTCTATTTTTACCCTTGAATGGAGTGGTACCATAAAGCATTTCATAGACTAAAATACCTAAAGTCCACCAATCAACAGCACTGGTATGCCCATTTCCTTTGATAACTTCGGGCGCAATATATTCTTCCGTGCCTACAAAAGAGTTTGTTCTAAAATTAGCAATACAGGATTTGGTGTCAATTGTTGGGAAATGATTATGGGAGGATGAAGAGGAAAAGTAGGAATTACCAAATCCTGAAGACGATGAGCTTGATGATAACAAGCCACCACCAGTGGTACCAGGGGTATCGTTATTAGCGTTATTATCATCATCGCGTCTTCCAGTTGAATTGTGGGAATTAGCACCAATAATGGTGGGGGAGCCTAATACCGTAGCTTGTTTAGATAAATCAAAGTCACTCAACATAATATGACCACTCTGATGTAAAAGAATATTTTCCGGTTTCAAATCGCGGTAAATATACCCCATCAAATGTAAATATTCCAGCGCAGCAGTGACTTCAGCAGCATAAAAACGAGCCGCGGCTTCAGGTATACACTTCTTTTTTAAATTTTGTAGGGCTCTAAAGAATTCACCCCCCATACAATATTCCATACAGAGATATAAATAATTATCTGACTGAAAGGAATGGTACAAAGTGACGATAAAGGGATGATTGGATGTTGATAGAATTTCTTGTTCGGTAAGAGCTCGCTTAACTTTATTTCTCTTAATCATTTCGGTTTTATTTAAAACTTTCATGGCGAATAATTTATTGGTTTGCTTTTCACGAACAAGGTAGACTTTCCCAACATCCCCTCGACCTAAAAGTTTAACCTTATCAAAGGAGTTGGGCGCAACCTCCACATCAGTAATTTTGACTGAATTACTAGAGTAGGTACGATTATTCAGCATTTTAGATTTTGAGTTCGACCGGCTGCGATTTCGGGTAGTTTGTGAACTTGAAGATCCACTAGGAATATTATTTCGCAGGCTGCTGAGCTTATTACCAAAACTATTGGACCTAGTCTTGTTTTTAATAGGTGTATGTAGATTACTGATCTTCATGAATTTACTACCAATACCGCTGGCAGATTTTTCCTCGTCTTTATCGGGATCGTTAATATTAATTTTATCAGTAGTTTCAGCTTCGTTGTTTCCAGTAACTGTGGCTACCGGCGTATTTCCATCAACGGTTGCATTTTTAATAGCCAGTTCTTGGTTTAATAAGGTCGTAGTAACAGGTTCGCTTTCATTACCTTCACCCTTAAGAAGATTTTTCAAATTATTAGGCGCCGAACTGACTCGCTTAACTTTTCGGGAAAAAAAGCCCTTCGAGTGAGAATTACTTCCTAACTCGGGAATCACCCCTGGGGTAAGCGTAGGCTGAGAAGGCCCTGGGGAACCAGGCGAAGTAATATTCAGTAAGCTATCCATATCTATTGCGGGTAACTGTTCTATTGTAGGTATCGAATTGTTACTATCTGAGTTGGTGGGTACGGGACTCTTGATTTTAGATTGATAAGACTGCGCTTGGACCATTGTGGGATCACTATCACCATTACCATTATTAAGAATATTTGATGCCGTGTTAGTTCGTCTCCTCAAGAATCTTGCCTTGAAGCCAGAAGGCTGAATTTCATTATTGGCTTGTACATCTTTAGTATTCTCTTTGATTACCTTCTTGTCTAATTCACGATGCTCTTTGCTGCCGTTATTCACAGGTATTTCAACATCAACCATTTCGTCGACTTCAACGGGAAAACTTTCGAAATAGGGCAGATTAACAGGCGTATAATTAACGTTAAAATTCGATCGAGGGGCATCTTTTGAAAGATCAATTTCTTCGTCGACTGGTAAATTGGATAGAGATGGGGATGCCGATACGTAAACTGCTGGAGAAGCCACTG